GGGCCTACGCGAGGCACGACTTACCTCCACCTTACGGGAGTTGTCACCTCCCTTCGGTGGGCGTATCCCCGCCGAGCTACCAGTCCACAGTACGAAAGCTAATCAGTTGCAATCGCAGAGGTGGACCAGCTGAGGGCGTTTCTCGTTCGTTGTAGCATAGGGGGTACGCGCAGTATTACGCCTCTATCAGACCCGCACGCGACCCGACATCTTGGGGGGCTGAGGTCCCAAGCACGACTCGTCGCCGGTCGACTAGGACGTATCCCATACGCCACGCACACACCACTATAAGGAACGCAAAAAGGTAGACACACACACAACATACGCACGGAACGACACAACACAAACAACGTGACAACGCTCCTAGTCCCTCAGTAGCCATCCCATAACTTTTCCGAGGCGGACTCGGATAGGCGTCGCGCGCGAGACTTAGTATAAAACCGCGCGGACGCCAGACTTTCTCATATCGACTCGCAATGCAAGCATACGCAAGCAGTCGCAGTGATGGCGTATTATGAAGTACCCATACTCATGCGGTCCTCGTTGATCTCGAGGGTCGCATTCGACGCTCAAGTGTCGGCTGACACGCGCCTAGAGGGTTAATCTCTCGACGCTGGACAACCGCCAAGTGCGGTTTAAAACCGCACCCTCTTCAGCACCCTGCGGAGAGTGGGTGGTACACAGGTTCCTACCTGTGGTGGCAGTCGTCTCTTATCGCCCTGGAGACCAGCTCCATCATCTAGGGCCTAAAAATAAGTCAAGGGGTTTGACTTGACGGCTGCCACGGACTACAACGTCCAACCATAATAATCTTAAAAAGCAAGTGTAGACCGAAGGCCTTCCGGCCCCGAAATCGCAAACTTGGGTACCCCCGTTTTTCTTTTGGTTGGCACCGCGGCCTACACCAATGCTGAACACTCATGCATATGTACGAGTCTTTCATCCCATAATTCCAGACTCTAGGACGGTGAACTGTCGCGCGCAAGATTTTGATATAAAGTTGCGCGGCTGCAGGCCTGTCCTGTACCAACCAGCGATGCTAGTCATACGCGGCAATCGCAGTCTCGGCCTCGCGATATTGAATGGTTGAAGGAATGTATCGTGAGGGGTTGCCCTTCACGATATTGAACGGCTGAAGGACATGCCGTTCGGCTCTCGCGACATTTCTGTCCTCAGGGTTGGGTGTCCCGGTGGGCAGTGCAGATAGGCTCTGCGCGAGGGAAGGTTCCTCCTCTGCGGAGCCTAGGGCTTGGGATATCCTGGACAAGGACCTTGAATCCCGGCCCAGGACCAACGTCCGACAAAAAAAATCAGAAAAAGTATACAATCAAGGGGAAGGGGTTTCTGCCTACCTTACCCCTATTTAGCCCTTAATACGCTGGCCCATTGGGCCATGCGAACTTCCAACATAGGTATCCACATATATATGTACACAAGGGGGGATAAGTATGTGACGATCACTTCTCACAATCACAGTGGGGCTCCTCACAACCATATGTGCATGTATGATCGCAGGCACTCAAATCCAAAATCCGAACCACATAACATACCTGCACTCACATCAAAGAATCAAACAAGGTCCACACACTACACGGAGTCAACCCCAACCACTCTTTGTACTCATACCCCTCGCTTTAGCCGTGCCAGCCCCAACCTCCAGCCAACGAACCATAATTAAATACTCAGTACCTTGTTAAATGGCCATTCAAGAAAAATCCGGGCGAAACCTTAACAAAACAATAAAATCACCAGGGCTAAAGCCTTTTTAGGTTGAGTATGGAGGGCGAGTTGGAATTGAGTCGTCAACCGACGAATCGGCAACCGACCTGTTATCAGTGATAACAGAATGTGATCCTCGTGGGATCAAAGCTGAATCTAGCCCAAAATCCTGAGTCGACTCGTTCAAGAAGACCTGTAATACAAGACAGGCCAATCCCAGGCTAAGTCTACAGGTTCATGGAGAATACTCTCCATATCACGACCTCACCCAAATCACCCTAATTAACTAGGCCTAAACCTACCTCTAAGCAGTTGCCAAAGCAAAGGTAGACCCTGGCATAATCTCCCCTACACGGAGTGGATCTCCCAGAATTGCCACCTGTCAAATATAATCTAACTCCTCTAATACTCGAAATATTTCGGCAGCGCTTCCCGTAGGAAAAGTGTCATCGCAGAAGTCGTACTAGTCCAAAAATCAAACTTTTGGATTCTAGAAAGTCAAAATTTATCTAGCTCCCAGATTTAGTAAAAATTTGGGCAGCGATTCCTTCAGAAGGGAAGACTGTCCAAATTGATACAAAGTCAGATATGAACTCAACCAAAAAGTCTGAGCTCTGTTAAGACAGAATTTTAACCAACTTCTTAGATTTGTAGAAATTTCGGCAGCGCTTCCCGTAGAGAAAGTGCTATTCTAAGATTTATACAAAGCTGAGTTTAGAATCTGAAATGACTTTGACCCTTCAAGGCCCAATTTTGTCTAACTCCTTGAATTAGTAAAAATTTGGGCAGCACTTCCTTTTAGAAAGGAAGACTTCCTAGATTCTTACTAAGTCAAAAAAGCCAACACGACCGGATCCTGAAGAGGATAAAGTTTTGACTAACTCATTGATTTTGTAGAAATTCTGGCAGCGCCTTCCGTAGGAAAAGTGACTTACCAAGATTTATACAAGACCAAAGTATAACAAAAGATCCGAGAAAATGCAGAAATCGAAACTAACTCCTATGGCTCTAGCACGTGGCGAGTAACTAAAGCAACTACCTATCAACCTGAAGCTCAGATCAGACAGGCATCCCACTCAGCCACATGCAAGCCAAACCATGAGGGTAAGTACTTTCACCATCCCAAGTTATTCCTCATAAGATAGTTCATGAGTCTTCAGATCATTCAACCCTTATACCCAACTTATATATGGCACTAATGCTGGACCATTCGGCTTGGAAACAATGTCCAGCGTGCCTTTAGGATATACACGAACAGGTTGCACTACTACTTTTCTCTTCTTTGGGCATTTGGTTAGACCATTCGGCTTGGAAACAATGCCTAGCCGCCCTGAATTGTTTAATATCCAAAGTTTAATAATTCTCTGACTTAGTTCTCAAAAGAAGGTGCAAATATGGGCAGGGGACTGAACCATTCGGCTTGGAAACAATGATCAGCTTGCCCAGTCAATTTCCAATTATAGTTCGTAATTTTCCTTCTCTTCTTAGTGATATGGCTTAATGTTGGGCCATTCGGCTTGGAAACAATGCCCAACTGCCAGTTCACATGCAAATATATGTAAAATACTTCCTTTTGTACTCAGCTTAGAAACAATGCTCAGCCTTAGACCAGAAATCCTCCCTCAGAACAAAACAAGAAAACCCCTTTGCATCAGGCAAACCCTCTAAAAATAAACATTGCAACCAGGCCATTCAGCTTAGAAACAATGCCTGACCCTGCAGAAAACAGTCAAATAAACACAACCCTGAGCCATTCAGCTTAGAAACAATGCTCAGTCCTTGGTTGACCCGGTCAAACACATGCAGTCTGCCTTCCTCCCACCTTCCCCCAGTTCATCCCCTTAGTCTGCTTTCAGTCAAAGTAAAAAATGAAACTTAAGCTTCACTCTCATACCTTCGTTTCATTCATTCTGATTATATCCTGAACAAAAGACAAGAATCATAGGGACAGTCTCATGCATACATCAGCCAAACTAATGAGGGATAGGCAAACATGGGTGGTATGGGGTCATATAGATAGAGAGATGGTATACCTGATGGTTCCCTGCCTCCAGAACCTCGCCTAGGTTTCGGCAGAGCTCCCGCAATCGGTGGGTGGACTCCCCACAGAGTCTTGATGCGGTCCTACGGGTTGMAATCCCGCCTGCCGCCTTCCTCTCGTAACCAACAGACCAGACTTAGAATGAGAAGGGCAGAAAGAGATAGGTTTGAGACTCTCAGATCCAAGGATGGTGCACTCAAACTCGCAAGAGAGGGCCTTGGTTCCTTGATGCGCCTGAGGGGCCCGCAATGATGGCCAAACTGCAGCAACTTGATCGATTTTTGAAGTCAAACTGTTGAAGTCAACTCCCTGATGCCCTTTTCAAATCGCCACAATGACCCCCCCTTTTCACAGTCTAAGTTTCAACACCTTTCTTTAGCCCCTCCGCCGCTACACAACAGCCTGTGCCAGTTAGCAGCTTCCAACAATAGTTCGCAATAGTATGCAGCAGTATGCCCGCAGTATGCAGCAATCACCGTAGCCAGCAGCCGTAGGCAGCAGTATGCAGCAGCCACAGTAGCCAGCAGCACCGTGCTGCTCATCAATCACAGCCACCTTTAGCGAGTACAGCAGTTGCTGCCATGGAAGCACTACTGAGGCAACTTGCGGCTTCACACAACAGCAGAGCAACACCCTAATCTGCAATTACATCTGCCGTCCCAATCTCTATTCAGTCTGTCGAGCAGGCCAGTAGGCTGAGTAGCGAAGAGACTTACTCTTTTGGTCTGATGAAATGGCCAGCTCTCTAGCTAGCCCGGCTCACTATACTGCTGCGAACTGAGAGGGCAGCTCCAGGCGATTCTCCAAACCTGCAGTTCGCCCCGTGCCACTCCACGCTTACGAACTAGGCAGAGTATCAATCAATCAATGGACCAAGCCCCGCCTTCTTACCTACAGCCTCTCCACTCTACAGTATAAGCGGCGTGCCAGTTCATGGGCAGTCGGTACTCCCTGTGGCTGGCCTGCTACTGCCACCGGTGAGCCCTGAACTCCCCTACGCCGGGACACTCGATTTCAGTAGGATGCGCATGTTGAACTGCAGGCCACCTCGCTACTCCCTTCTCCAACGGGCAGTACCGCCTCCGTCAGCAGTTACTCAGCCCCTTGCCAGCCGTTTCCCCGCCTTCTACTCAGTAGCAGGCAGGGTCTACACCAGCAGCCGGGTCCTTCCCTCCAACGGCGGACTTTACTACGATTCCATAGTAAGATGAGCAATGCGTCTTTGACAGGTAAGTACTTGGCTCTTGCCCAACCTCCTTCTTACTTTAGCCGTCGGTAAGTGAACCGCCAGTCTTCGCAGCCTCTCCCTCGTTCTTCACCATCACCGCACGTCACTTCTCTCTCTCCCTCCCTTTACACCAATATGAATACGATCCCGGTCACATACACCCGGGCAATGGAGAAGGCACGGGGTCAATCCCAAAAACTCACGATCTCCAGGTAAGCTCTCTCTCTCTCTCCATTGCTATACTACCTCTCCGAAACCACAATGAACTTATGCCAAAACACGATTAGGTGCATCAACACTTCGTTGAATTCCCCCTCCCGGCGCAGCTCCCGCATACTGCACCATCGAATCTGCTCTCCCACCTCCAAATCTATCAATGTCAGCAATGGCCACACACCTTTGGTTTGCATCTCCCCTTGAGCACCTTCATTAGGAATCGTGTAGCCTCCTCAGTTTTTTACCCCTCCTATTACTCCCTCTGCCATAGCTTTCACGTGTTAATTTTCCTACTACTCCCGCTTTCCATCACCTGACCATGCAAACTAACCCCGGATCTGAGGTCGCCTAACCCGAAAACCCCTGCCTAACTTCTCTCCTCACTCGATTTCATCCAGGATCGAGCGAGTTCTCGGTCCTTCTCTCCTTGTTATCTCGCTCTCCGCCATATCCCCGCGCTGCCCATATCTCCCTTATCTCTTATTCTACTGACTGATTACTAAATCTAACCCAACTATTGAATTCGCCTTGGTCGCAAACCCCGAAATCGTGCCTTGCCTCGTCTAAATCCATTCAGAAATGAGGAAGATAAGTACTTCCTCGCTCTCCCTTCTCCTCACCATCTTCATTCCGGACGCACCCTGGCGCAAAAAACGCCCAGGTTCATTTGCTTCTCCCAACCTTCTTCTCACAGCCTTTGCTCTCCGCACTTTGCTATCGCAGTGCTCGTCGGCCTGCTGTCTCTCTTCACCGTCTCAGCGCCCGATACCTACCAACGCAGTAGCCCCGCCCGCTGTTGTGACGACGACTTCGATGAGAGCTAACAACCAGTCGGCCCGGCTAGGCTGTCCTGGGCAATATTCCGGCAAGCGGCTTATCCCCCGGCCGCCTGGCTAATCTTCCGCTCCTACACCCCTCGTCGCCTCTCCACCTACCCCATCTCAATCTGCACCCGGCGCAATACCCGACCGGGTTCCTTCCCTTTTTGGTACTCCGCTCCGCTGCCTTACTCCGTCCGCTGCTGCTCGCACAGCCCGACCCTGCTGCCTGCCTTTCACTATCACCAACTGCGTTCCAACACCAACACCTTCACGGGTGCGGCCGGTACTGCTAATGAATGCCACCACAAAGTGGCCTTCCTCCGCCGAGGTACACGGGCCACGCCTAACTATCACTACTAACCTCTACAGCGGTCAGCCGGCAGACGTTGGACTCCTACGGAATCTGCGGCCCACGCCTTGGTGAGGCTGCCCCCGTGTGGGCCTAGCGGAACTTCTAAAGGTCGAAGGCGGGGGAGGGTCCTGTGTGGGCATCCCAGCCACTGCGACCCCCGTCCTGGTTAGAGCTCGGGCCCGTAGTTCCATAGTTCATTGGTGTACACACTGAGCTAGGCCCGTAGGGTCCTAGCACCACTCGCGGTACCACGTCCCAAATTCGAGTGGGACCATTAGTAATAAATAGGATAATAAAAAAAAATGATAGTAAAAAAAAAAAAAGACAGATATATAAAAACCATAACGAAAAACGGGGGACTGCTGGCACCTCGCCAGTCCCATGAGTCGGCCCCGTTGCCACGCCCATCAGCAAAACTGACCTCAACCCCTCGGTTCCTTCTGTGACGCTCCGCTGCTCCCTTATGCGGCCTGCCGGCCTCGACCCCTGCACCTCCGCTGTGTAAGTCCACCGTAACCTATAGGGCTAAGCCCAAGCCTGGCATTGGCATGCGCGGAATCCTATCTAAAGTGGTGCACGCAGGTGCTCAAAGCGCCTTGGGTCATATCTCCATTTGCAGCCAACACATCACCACTAGGCATCCCTGCCGGCTAGCACCAACTACGCCGAGGCCACAACACACGCCAAACCTCGTAAAAACACCTTTTATTCATAATGAAAAAAAACTCAGGCCGGCCAACTAAGCCGGCTGCTTAATCAAATGGCGGAATCACACGCGCGGCTTAAGACTGCGCGCTCACTCACGCTCTACCCTAATCAATCACCCTATCAATGTAAGTCACAGACTCAGCCGCGCCTCAAGTGGCATACTTAGACTTTAAATCAAACTTACTGTCTCTTACTTGCAAAACCAGGGCGGACACCCTTGTCAGGGTATTCGCACCAACAACGGCGCCCTGGATTGCTGCTGCTGCACAGGAGACGTGGAGGCAAGCATGCGATGGGCAATGCACGGGGGGCGCGAAGGGCACAAAGCTGGACTACCGGGTTCATCCAGGCTGCGAGGGGCAGCACTCCGAATTCGAAACTTGAAAAACAAACTCATTTCAGCCGCCCCCCCGTTTTTTTCTTCAGAGGCCCCGCTCGGCCTCAAAATATTGTTGTTGTTTTTTTCGTTTCGTGGCGCGACATCCCAGCCGGGCCTGGAACACCCCTCGGCAACTTTTTTTTTTTTTGGTCGACCCCCTATTTTCGGGGTGCGCCGCACCCGGTGCGCAGTGCAGCGAGTGTGCGGGGTGCAGCGCATGTCAATGCGCCGCAAGTAACTCAAAGGTGAGTACAACAAAGTTGCTGACGCACTGTCGCGTAGGCCAGACTTCTCTGGTGCGCTGATCACTGAGTTTGGGCTTGCGGACGATGTCACTTGCTCTTTGGTGGAAGCCTATCACGAGGACCAGTTCATGTCCGAGATCATATGCAGACTCGAGGCGAAGGACAAAGTGACTTCTGCCGAGTTTGAGTTGGTCAACGGCTTGCTGTTCCTTGAGAAGGCCGGGAATAAACGTTTGTGTGTTCCCAATAGAGAGTCTTTGCGTAGTTTATTTTTAGGTGAGAGTCATGATGCCACGGGACATTTTGGTTTCAAGAAGACTGCAGCCAATCAGTTGCAGCGGTTCTGGTGGCCCACGATGATGAGAGATGCTAAACTGTATGTCGAGACTTGTCAAGTTTGTCAACGTGACAAGCCCTGGACACAGGCTCCTCTTGGGCTGCTCAAGCCCCTTCCCATTCCGGAGAGGCCTGGTGAAAGCCTGTCCATGGACTTCATGGATACGGTAGTCACCAGCAAGAGTGGCATGAGGTACATCTACGTCATTGTGGATAGATTTAATAAGTATGCTAGGTTAGTGGCCATGCCAGAAACAGCAAAGGCCGAGTACGTTATCAAGCTATTTAAGGAAAACTGGGTCAGAGACTTTGGCCTGTCTGAAGTCTATAATCAGCGACAGGTATGTCTGATTCACAAGTGAACTGTGGAAGGCCGCAGCTGCCGAACAAGGAACGCAGCTGCAGATGACATCTGGAAATCATCCAGAGGCAAACAGACAGGCAGAGCAAATGAACCGTGTTGTTCAACATGTGCAAAGGCACTACATTAAGCCTAATCAAGTGGACTGTGATGAGAATCTTGCTCTCATCGCCAGCCTGTACAACAACGCAGTTCATAGTGCCACGGGAGTAAGTCCTAACAGCCTACTTCTAACATTCAAACCCAGGCTCCCCCTCGACTTTCTGCTACCTGAGAACCAGCCTACTGCTGCTCCAGGCACTTCGGAATTCGCTTATAGATATGAGAGTCATATGCAACAGGCAGTAGAACACATGCACAAAGCACAGGTGGCGATGATCAAATCTGAGAACAAGCACCGCCGCCCATCTATGTTTCAGGTAGGGGACAGAGTCTGGGTCAAGGCTTTAGAACTGGGACAGGAGCACGGGATTTCCCGTAAGCTCATGCCACAATACTTTGGACCATGGCAGGTTTTGGATGTAGTTGGGGATGAACCAGACGGACCCTCATATGTCATTCGGATCCCTGGACACCTTCGCACCCTGTTTTTCACGCTTCTAAGCTTGCGCCATTCAAGGAAACTGACCAGTTCCCTTTGCGACGCTCAACGCTGCCCCCAACCATGGATGGAGCGGTCGACATTGATGAAATTGTGGATCACAGAGAGATTCCGGTACCAAGACCGACCGGCAGGGGATGTACACCGAAACCGAAGCTGCAGTATCGCGTTTGGTTCAGGCATCACACTGATCCTAAGGAGGACAGATGGTTTACACGGGAAGAATTGATGCAGACCGCTCCACAGGTTGACGCCCACTACGAGAAGTTACTGTAGAAAGGAAAGCACCAGATTGACTAAACTTCTCAGAGGACTAGCGAAGTATGGAGGAGGGAATGCGAGGCACAAGGCCTTGATAAGCCCTACCGGGCCCCTATCTGTAACAGGTCGGCCGCCCTAAGTGAAGGCAGGCTTGACAGACGACAAGAGGCCTATTTTGGACTACTTCGCAACTGGGGAAAATTCAGGCAGTTGCGCAGCGCCAGTTGGTTGAAGGCGCCCAGGCCCTGGCCTCCCTTATGTCAGGCCCTGGGCGAGATACGCAGCATAGGCCCAACTTAGGCTGCGGGCAGTTGGGCATGGGTAACTGTTGGTGGCCCTGGGCCTGATTCGTTTGGACTGAGGCTCTCAGCCTCCCTGGGCCTACCGGAAGCTTCTGGGCAGGAACCCAGCGCAGCCAGGCTGCATGCGAGGCAGGCAGGCCACTTCCATTTAGGAAAGGGCCTGCCCATGCGATCAGGATTCGGGCACTGGCTGCATGCTGCGCAAGCGCTGCTGCGCTAACGCTGGCCAGGCTCACGCGCTCACGGGCAAGCCGGAAGGAGCAGGCAGCCATGGCTGAGCTGCGCTTCTGTATGCTGGATGGGGCGCATGGTGGTCCTTGGGTGCATGTGGCATCTGTGAGTTGGGGAACGAGGTTTTGAGTGATATGAGAGACATACCTGGTGCTTGAATCGTACGGCATTGACCGAGATCTGCTCGTACTTCGGGGAGCTGTTGACGTCATCAGCGGCATCGTAGAGTAGGCTAGATAGGATCTGCCATCTGTAGTCTGGGCGCCGAGCGCCAGATAGGATATCAACATTGGTTCTTCGTTGATGATGATGAGACTATTCCAGCATTGTCAGTTATGAGCTTTTGGTGTGCTCTTTTTTGGTGAAACTCGTGATGCAATTCTGCTATTGGTTTGAGGTCACGACTATCTGGTCTGATGTGTATGATTCTGTTTGATTTCTGAAGTTCGCTATTGCTCATCTTCCTTGCAATTCATTGGTTCTGGTGATTAATTGGTGATCGGAAGACGGGGAGGAGGGGAGAAGAATATGAGATGGGGAAGAAGCGAGTGGGAAGACATTGTTGCCAACTTGTGTAATTCTTCTTCTTCTCCTATCTTTTTTTTTTTTTCTTTCTTTTCTTTTTTGAAAGGGACGATGCTCCAGTCTATTTGTAGGGAGCAATACTTGCTTGGAACTGGGTCTCTCTTATAAGAGTACATTGAATATGAGATACTGAGGCCATTACCCGGCTTTGGCTAAGAACAATGTAACCGATCTATCCTCTCCATTCTATCCCGCCCTTTCTGCCTTTCCATTTCTTTGGAGTACAGCAAGTCTTGCATTTTCTCACGTTTGAGTTTTGCATTGTGGATGAAACAGGATCATAAGAATTAGCTATTGGTTCTTGATCTGGATAATCAAGGGCGATTGAATTCCAAAGGGAAGGCTTTTGGCTTCCCCCTTTTTTATATATAGGAAATAGCATGATTTCATTACCTGAGGAAAAGGAGGCCGGGAATCCCCCCACATCTCAACCTGGGATGCTGGGCCCGATACCCAGCTTAGGCTCATAGTGGAAAACGGGTCCAGTGTCCCATGCTTCAAAATCCCAATATGCTATTTCAGAATAGAAGTGGAAATTGGACTAACAAAACCAAAAACTGCCAAAGGAGAATCCTTAAACCCTAAACCCTGCTATGTTCCTATCCTTCCTAGCCAACCCTCCCCTTCCTAACCCCTACCCTGCTATGTTAACCTCTCTGTTCCTATTCTAGCTTGTTCTCTGAGGTTTCCATTTGAATACTAACCTTGACCCCTTGAATGGTTGCTACTTTATCCTGTCCTGGAATCCTTTGGACGAAGTGGGTCCTCAATTCCTGTGCCTGTTCCGGGTGTTGGTAGATTTGTCTTTGCACTCTTGGCCACTACGTTTGGAGATCTGTTTCCAATAAATGTGGAGTATCTCACTTGCCTCTTGCTTGTGCATTGGTGGCTTGTCAATGGTGATCTGGCATCACCTCTCCCAAATTGTCCATAGATTGTACTGCCTTATCGGATGGAAGATGCTCTTCTCAAATGGTTGCCACTTCGTTGGTGGGTCGTGGCCTAGGACCAGGGTGGCTTTGCTCTCTGGGAATGGCGTTGATGTGATCTCCCATAAGGAAGCTGCCTCCGAACATATTATCAGAAGGCAGTGCAGCATTGTTTCTGGGTTCCCTCTTGGCAGACTGCACACAGTGCGTTGATGCTCTCTGTGGTCGGCTCCTTTGCTCGTTTAGCCACTCATTTACCGGAAGTGCCACGTGGGCTATGCTATTAGCCATTTCATGCTTCTGACTCTTCCAATGCGAATCATGTTAATCTGTGGCCAAGGTATTTTGGGTAGCTGCTCCGGTGACAACCCCACTTTATCCTCCCATTGTTTGTACACCAATACCGCCAAGGGGTAAGAACGCCTTCTCAGTTGGTAGCCAAGTCGAGTAGTGTAATTTAGGATATTGATCCTTCTAGCCACCGTCAATCTTCCTCCTCTGAGGTTCCAAGCCCATTCCCCGGGGTCTACATCCTGATCCTCCACCGAAGTGGATGGACTGAAGATTGTGAAATCTTCTGTCTTTACCACTCTCACTTTGCGCAGGTGTTGAAGTTGGATGCTAATCAGGATTTTGGTTGTCTGATCCAGGAGGCTGGTAGTGTTTCCTGGATTCATCATCGCATACATGTCTGCGTTCAACTATTTTATCTTGCTGGCTCCTTTTTCCATATTCTGAAGGCTTCCTGCGGTTCCTCCTGCTGCCATGTGGCCCAATCTCCTAAACCCCACCGCGGCTCCTTTCCCACCTTCTCTGTCCATTCTTCTGGGATGGCCACCAGTTGGTCATTGAGATTCTCTAATAGTCTGTGGCTTCCCTTCAGCTCCACCTTGAGTTCCCTAGCTGTCTTCCACCGCTGCTTGTCCTCCGCCCAGAGGTGTTTAATCTGCCACACCCCATGTTCCACCCAATTACCCCACTTAGTATCTCCTGCTGTAAGAGTAAGTAGTTTGCCTTGTATGTCCTTGATTCCTGGATTGCAGAATGCGGGGGTTGTCGAAGTACCTCCTCCCTTGTAAGGGGCTCCCTAACTTTGGCTGGGAAGATATCCTTCCACAGCTTCAGCATTTGGCGCCAATAGGAAGCTTCTCTTGATCCTTCTTCGACACCGGTCGGGGTTCCTTCTCCTCTGCCCACCGTAGCCCAACTACTGCACATTACCCACTTCTCCTCTGAGGCCACACACATTAGAGGGGGTTTTGTATTTAGCAAGTTGTCTGATTCTTTCCAAAGCTAGTGGGACTCAAAGCAACTTTTGATGGGTGATCAACTTGACCACCCACTTTGTTTGTAACGGTTTGAGCTGTTGATCGGATAAAAAATGCCCAACCCCCCCTGCTCTTTCGTACGAGTGACGTGTTTCCACGCCACTTTGGAGATGAATTGGGGTTCCTGCATACAAAAGCATTGAGAAGATGGACGCATTAAATATGAGTGCTCTTCCAAAGATTGATGTGTATATCGTAGACCAGGCGCTCAACTTCACCAAGATCCTGGACATAAATTCTGCCGACATCGACTGATGGGGACCTGCTTCCGTGATCTTGACTCCTAAGTACCTCAATGGTGCTTGCAGTGTCACCCATTTCAACCCTTCCGGGTTGATGGTCGGGTCTGGCCCCCCTCCTTCTTGGTCCGTCAGCCACCATCCAACAGTCTTTTGCCAATTTATTTTCATTTCCGAAGCTAGCTGGAAGGCCTCTATCGCTCTTGTGAGTGCCTGGAATGATGAGTCCGAAGCTCTGATTAACACTGTGAGGTCGTCTCCAAAAAGTAGAGTCATGGGAAGGTGGATGAGGCAGCCTTGCTGATCTGGTTCAGTGATAAGGCGCTGTATTGCTGGGTCCTTGTGAAGGAAGGAGGCCACTGCCTCCATGATAAAGAGGAAGATAGGCGCTGGGGGGGGGTCCCCTTGTCTGACCAATCTCGACATCTTGTATTTTGCTGATAGGTGGCCATTGACCTGAACTTTGTCTGTATGCGTCATTATATAGAACTCTGTTCCATTTCT